ACGTACTGCTACATAGTCCTTGTGTTAACGAGGAAATTGTCAGGAAAAACAAGGAAAGCATGAAGATGTAAAATTGGTGGGACACTAGTGTTGTACATTCTGAAAATAAATCTGATTTAATTACAAAAGGTTAAAAATTGGTAAGTTTGATGGTGAGTATACAAGTGTTTGTTAAATTTTATATTTTTCTATATATTTAAAAATACCTACTAATTTAAAAACAAACATTTTATAATAAACAAAAGTATTAGACATGATTCAAATATCACTCAGACAGAAAATCAGAGCTTTAAATACATGTATTAGAAAATGGAAATAGCAAGAGAGGAAAATAAAAGAAAAAAATGATTAAGTGCTTAACAAAAGAAGCTAATAAAAAGATAATAAATCCAAAGTGATGAGGAAAAGGATATTTAAATATAAACTCAGAAATCAAGGAAATAGAGAAAAAAATCAATATTCAAGGTTTAACAAAGCAGATATTGGTTTTTTGAAAAGATTAGTAAGATAACAAACTTCTGATAAGACTGAACAAGATAAATCAGAAAAGAGGTAACTAAATAAAACACAGCATGAAAAGGAGAAATGTCTAGGGTCACAGGTTATTTTAAAAATGCTTTTTAAAATTATGTACAAACATTACCGTACATAGGTAACCCACAAGAAAATGGATTTATTCCTACCAAGTATTTAAAGAGTTAAATTGGACACAAGAAGAAATAGAAAATTGAGTTGACTATAAAGATTAAAGATATTTAAGTGTAAATAAAACATTTCCTTCAACAAAAGTCTTAGGAAAAGGCTGGGGAATTTAAGAAAGGAATAATCCGGCAGCGTGTTTGAAAAAGCAACTTAGAGAAGAACATCGGAGAGGTAGGGAGGCCATCTGAGCGGAGCGATCCGGCCGCAGACGGCAAGGTGCCCCCTACACGCATCAGCTTGATTGGGATTAGGCCGCTGGAACAGAACCAGTTCAGTGTCCTAACCGAGGACTATTGATTGCTTCTCATGAACATCAGACACCTGTCTGCCTCTCCGAGGACAAGGCTCAGAAATTCTGCCTTATCTCTTCCTCTCTTATTGTTTTAGGCTGGCATAGAACACTGGCGGAGAGTGCACACAGCCTGAGCTTTCATAATGAACAGCCGTATAACCACCCCCACTGAGAAATAACACCCCCAGTCTGTGTGCGGCTGCCCATACGCCTCTCCCCATCACCTCTCCTTCTCCCGGAAGTAGCCACTATCCTAATTCCAAACACCATGGATACATTTTGCGTATTTGCAAATATAAAATAAGTGGAATCATGGTGGCTCCAGTTTGTCTTTTTGTTTTTGCTCAAATTTGCTTATGAGATTCATCCATATTGTTGCAGATTGTACTAATTCGTTCATCTTTGCAGTCTGATATTCCAGTGAATGGTTATGCCACAATTTATCTTTTTTTCTATTTATGGAGATTCATTTTCCCTCCCAGGTGTTGGCTGTTACGAGTAATGTTGTATGACCGTATGTGCTATTGATTGTCATTATTTGTCGGTTCTGTATTTGTGAGTTTGTATACTCTCTAGGGTTTATGTGTAACCCGCAAATCAATACCTGCAGAGCATTTCGCTGTCCTTCATGGACGTGCGCAAAGTGGCTAAAATTTGTCACCTACTGTGCCTGCTCTCAACTGAAGTTGAGTGAAGTGACACCTTGTCTTCGTGCTACTGTTCTCATCCTGTAAACAAGTGCTCTATGTTCTGTATACTTAGTGCCATCCATGGCTTTTGCACTTTTTCTTGGTGATTTTGTGACTTAAAACTGCCCCCAATGTAGTGCTGAAGCGTTGTCTGTGCTCCTAAGTGCAAGAGGCTATGATGTGCCCGATGGGGAAAATTTTAGAGAAGCTTTGCTCAAGCACGAGGTACAGTGCTGTGGCCATGAACTCGCCATTAATGACTTAGCAACATACTACATTAACTGAGGGGGTCTTTAAGGGGAAACACATGTCAAACAGGCTCTGCATTGGTTGGTCGGTGAGAACGTTGTGGCCAGAGCTTCACGGGGACCCTGGATTCTCCTTGGCAGCACCTATTCAGTACTTAGTAAGGCAGTGCACGTGGTGACTTTATAGAGCATAGCGACTGTGAATAAGGAGGATGGAGCGTATGTGCATTTCACTGAGTGTATACTCAGGAGTGGCAATGCCGGGCCATAGGATTGCCATGTTTTCGACATTAGTACAACATTCAGATTTCAAGGACATTCTAGGACGTTGCTCCCCAGGGGGACAGGAGAGTACTAGCAGCTGTGCATCTTTTCCGACACTTGGCATTGTCGACTCTTGAGTTTTAGCCATGGAGCAGCTGTGTCCATCACACTGGTTCACCATGAGCTTTCCTGATGGCTGATGGTGTTGAGCATCTTTTCACAGGTTACTGACTGGCCATGTAGATGCCCTGCTTTGTGAAACGCCTGTTCAAGTCTTTCCCCTTCTTAAAAACTGGATTGTCTGTCTCTTTCTCATTGATTTGTAGTTCTGTTTCTGTTCTGGAATTTGCCCTTTTTGGTTACACATGTGACAAATAGTTTCTCCCGTGTTGTGGCTTAGCATTTCACTCTCCCAATGGTATTTTTTGATGAATAGAAGTTTTTAATATTAATGAAGTCAAATTTGTCTTTTGTTTTCTTGAGAGTTTAGTACTTTTTAATTCCTGTTTAAGAGATCTTTGCTTACTACAAAGTCTAAAGACATTATCTTATTTACCGTCTAGAAGGTTTATTGTTTTACCTTTTAGATTTTGATCTACAACCCACCTGAAACTAGTATTTGCACAGTTTCAACCAGGTATCGCGATTTTATTTTTTTCCTGCAGGGATATCCAGCTGAAATGGTCCCTAGGTTGATGAGGCTGCCAGTTCCCCACTGTGTAGGGTTTTACCTCTAAGAATGTTTTCATAGCGTGTCATTCCCATTCTTTTCCTTGTAAACTATATCCGTATATTTAATGTCTGTCGTAAGCAACACGTATTGATTTCAATTTTTTATTCTAGTCTAAAATCTTTACCATTTAATTACAGTGTTTACCTATGAGTATTTAATGTAATTCTTAATACATGTGGATATAAATACTTCTATTTTACCATTTTTCCTGTCTGTGCCATGCTTATCCCTGCTTTCTTTATTGCTTTCATTAAAGCAATACTTAAGGATTTTTAAAAAGATTTTATTTATTTTTAGAGAGGAGGAAGGGAAGGAGAAAGAGAAGGAGAGAAACATCGATGTAAGAGAGAAACACTGATCTGTTGCCTCTTGTATGCGCCCCGACCAGGGACTGAACCAACAACCCAGGCCTGTGCCCGATCAGGGACTGGACTGGCGACCTTTTGCTTTGCGGGATGATGCCCAACCAACTGAGCCACACCAGTCAGAGCCATATTTAAGTATTTTTAATTTCAAACAATTTCTCCCAGATTAGCTTGTCAGTTATAAAGTCTTTTAGCTTCTCTGTTATTTGACTACCATAAAGGGTTCAGTATGAATCCTTGACTTTCTAAAGTCTAATCTAAATAAGCACGTCTACTTTCTGGACAATGCAAAGACCTGAGACTGTCTTAATTCTTTCCTTTCCCTCCTTCCCTTTGTCTGGCTGTCCTGTGTTTTAATTCTCTATATATTTTAGACTGCAAAAGAAATTGTTGCTATTTTAAAGTCAGTATTCTCTTAGATTGATCCACGTGTTTACTCTTTCCATGGTTTTTCATTCCTTTGGGCTTTGACTTGCTTCCAGCTGTGGTCATTTCCTTCATTAGGGTGTGTTGCCAAGGGATACATTTAGTGTGTATTTATCTGAGAATGTCTTTATTTTATTTTTACTTTTGAGGGAAATTCAAAATGATTGTATAATTATAGATTTATAGCTACTTTCTTTCAGATTTTAAAGATGTTTTACCCCCTGGCTTCCACCATTTCTGCCACCCATATTATTGTTCCTTTGAAGTAAATGTCTTTTTTACCCTCTGGCTGTTTTTAAGAGTTTTGTTCTGTCTTTGCTTTTCGGCAGTTTCACTATAACAGACCTAGGTGCATTATTTCCTTTGATTTTTCCTGCTTTGAAAAATCAAAATAGTACTTCCTGGATGTGTAGTTTGATAGTTCCCTTGTCAATATTTGAAAATCCTTAGCTAATATCTCTGCTGACATTTTTCCGTCTCATTCTTTCTTTTTCCTTCAGAATTCCTCATTATAGACACAGGCTTTAAAATAAGGATGATGAATATGTTCAAGAAGATAGAAGATGTAATAGATCATTTAAGCAGAGAATTGAAATATGCAAAAGAATATCAAATAAAAATTATAGAACTGAAAAATACAGAACACTTAGAACACACAGATAAATTGACTAGCAGATTAGACACAGTAAAAGGAAGGATTGTTAAATGGAAGATAGGTATTTTGAAAATATCCAGCATGAAGCTGAATAGATGGGTGAACTTCTCTCTGTCACTTTCTGCCACTGAGGCTGAATATCAATTGTTATGGTTCATACCACCCCTGCACTGCTTCGCTTACTTTCATGACCTGGGTGACCGTGTGCTGGTAGGGAGAAACAGTCGGGGAGGCGCAATCCAGGCAGATGAATCAGCGCATGAAAAAGTCCATTGCCCGGAAGAGTGAGCAGGTCTGGGACTCAGAGGAAGTCAGCCGGGCTGGAGCCCAGACACCAGCCGGGGCTTTTTTGTATTGAGCCACTGAGATCTGGAAAAGTATCCAAGATCTTGGGTGTCTTTGCAGACTAAATAATTAAGAGGAATCAATACTTCTTTCATGGGTGCTTGGTGGGTATACCAGTTGGCCCCTCTGAATCTTCTGGTGGAAATAATCCATCGCTCCGTAAAATGAAGTTGATAACTGGAGCCTAACTAGCGATAGCCAGGGGGACAGGCCGTTGACCCGGTGTGATGAGACGTCCCTGCTGAGTTGATGTTTACGCCTTCGTTTCCCCTCTGTCATAGCTGCACGTGCCCGCTGCTGGGAAAAGTGTGGGAAGCTGACTTGGAAGCATGCCAGCTGCTCCTCCAGAGCCTGCAGCCGCAGGAGGCCAGCGGCAGCCCGTCCGCAGATGAGGAGCAGCAGATGGATGGCTCTGGGGGTGCTGCCGGCACCGCCGCCCCCGGCCTTTGCCCCAGGCCCCGTTGCGAAGAGGAGAGGAGGAACCCTTTGCAGGCGCTGGAAGAGTGGAGGGCTCCGCCGGCCCCCTCGCCTCCCTGCGCTGACAGCGAACAGAAAGAGGTCTGTCCACCCCGCAGCCTCCGCAGGGGCGCCCCTCTGACCGGGCTCTGGGGCCCACTCACCGTACTGGGAGGGCCTCCCACGGAACCGTAGGGTTTAAAGAGTTAATGTCTCTTGAATAGGATGATAAAATAATGTAGAATTTTTGGAGGAGGAGTTTAAAATATCAAAGAGCAAAAAGAAAAACTGTGACCTATTTAGTCCTATTTTATTCTACTTTTATGACCACAGTTAGAATATACAGTCTAATACATAATTACTATGTATAACATATACTGTATGAGTCATGTAACATATATAACTATTATTTATACTATATGTGTCATGTATATTTAGAATCTGTATCTTACAACATAATTAGAATTAGATTTATTAGAATCAAACATTCAAATATACTTATAGATCCTATTAACTGTTTTTGGCAAAACAAGATCATAATAGGTGTTTGTAATCTGCTTTACTTGTCTAAAAAAGTAAAACCTAACCCTTACTTGGCTTATGATGCTACATATTATATATATGTAAAATGTAATTTTACATACATGTATGTATGGATTTATTTAACATTTTATCCCAAGGCTGACCTCAACGAACAGAGAAGAGCTGGCAGCCCTCCCCTCCCCTCCCTGCCCTCCCCTCCCCTCCCCGCCCTCCCCCCCCTCCCCCCCCGCCCTCCCCTCCCCTCCCCGCCCTCCCTCCCCTCCCTTGTCCTCCCTCCCCTCCCTCGTCCTCCCTTCCCCTCCCCGCTCTCCCTTCCTCTCCCCTCCCTCCCTTTCCCCTCCCGGGCCCTCCTCTTCACTCTCCGTTCAGGTTGGTCTCTCCCCGCGCCAACTTTCCCCCGTAACCCTAAGAATATGCCTTTCAGTGAAAGGGAGCGGAGCTAGGGATTTTTTTTCCAGTTTCAGTAGCCTGACTAGAGGCTTTGAGCCCTTTTCTCGGGCCAGGTTCCCAGGTGTCCTGAATAGTAAAAGGAAATTAAAGTGTGGGAAGCTGGAGGAACGTGTCACCTCACGTTCACAGCTCGCATTTGACGTTCGGTGGGTCTTTTCCATGACGAGCACCATGCGTGCGCCCCCCGGCCAGCTTCTCTGACCTGTCACAGGACATGGCTGGCACAGAGCGACGCCCACTGACAGCCCGTGCTCACAGTCCCTGCCTCTGGACTGCTTGGAAAATGGACACTTGATCCCATACTTGATTGAGTGACTTCTGAGAGAGCTGACTGTTGTCACTCTGCAGTCCCGCTGGCCTTGCAGAGTCAGGCTCCAAATGGAGCTCAGGTGACCTCGGCCTTTGTCCACCGCAGACTGCAGGGGACCCGCCCTGAAATCCTGGCCGCTGGAGCTCTCAGTAGAGGCGCGGAAACTTTGCCATCTGTGTTGCAGTGGGCCGGCTGGAAAGAATATTCTGGAGTGGAGGAAGGCGAGGGATGGGGAGCCCTGGCGATGAAACCACGGGCCCAGGGCTGAGGCTCAAGGCCGGCCGCTGTCCCACGGGGGCTTGCAGGGGCTCTGGGCCGGCACGGCCCTCTGGGACGAGGCCAGGCGTGCCATGGCGTCTGCTGCAGCCTCGGCCCCCCCGAGGCCACGGCTGATTCTGCGGACTTGACCTCGTGGCAGGAGTCTTGTCCGTTCCGTCCTTCTTCTGCATCCCTTCCTTACCTATCTGCCCCCCCAAGCTCTCTGGCAGACGACTTTCCTTGATATAGGAGGAGGATTCTTCCTCCATAAGGTTATTCGCACCTGCCAATCTGGCTATAGTAAAACAGAGCTAATTTTGCCTACGAGAGGGAAATCCAGAGTCGGGGGGAATAAATAGTAGAGCCTTGTCATAGAAGGACACGTGAGGCTCCTGGTGAGCTCTGGGAGCTCCCTCAGTGCCCCCAGCTCCGTGGCACCAAGTGCAACGCCAAGGACGTCCTGCAGGGCTTCGCTGCTTTCTTGGGTGGAGAGAGCAGAGGGGGCTTTGCAGCATTTGCTAGGTGTCCTGACCTGTGCCAAGGCCTGTTGTCCCATGTGCTTCTCCAGGGTCACATTCAGACGGGAGGCAGGCACCCTTTGAATCCGTGAGTGAGCGGCAGGAATGTTAACATGGCACATATTTCCTGGAAAGCGCAAAATGACCGGAACAGAAGACAGAGCGGCTGTTGCCAGGAACTGGGGCTGGGGGAGGTGTGTGTGATAGAACTGCTCTGTATCCAGGTTGTGCGTATGTCTAAATCTGTAACTTTACACCAAAAAGAGTGAAATTTACTGCATATAACCTCAAATGAGTAACTAAAATCTTTAAAATGACACCTACCTGTTTAAAAGCAAGGCTGTAGATGTTTGAGTCCGTTGCACTGGGCTCAGGGCTTTCAGAAGGCAGTGAAATGGGATGCAAGGAGCCCAGGGCATTGAGGCTGTATCCAGGCTGCATCTCCTTATCTGCTGAACAAGTGAGGGTCGTGAAAACTGCCTCGGGGGGGGGTCGTGAAGATTTAAATAAATTAATGCGCCTGAAACTGAGTGACACAGAAAGAGTAGAGGGTTAAAAAAGCGCGCTTACCACTTTCTGGCAGTTACAAATGTCTCTAAGTTTTTTGAAAAATAATATATCTTGCTTCCTTGATTAAGAAGCAGAAGTGAGCAAGGAAGTAGTGGAAGACCGCTAAGAAAATAAAGGTTTAATAAAGGAAGCTGCTGGTTGGTGTATGGACGGAGGATGTGAGACCCCCGCAGGTACAGAGAATCGACCTCCAAGCGTGTTGTTAGGAAGGCGATTTTGTTTCCCTGCCTGGGTTTTGCAGGGAGTCCCTGAAGTCTGGGGTACTTGTGTGCCTATCCTGTGGCGAGCGCGTCTATTTGCTGTGCAGCCCTGAGTCGGTTCGGCTTCGGAACTCCCCGCGGGGCTGGGCCGTCCCGCACGGGTTTCTCTATTGAAGTGTAGTGCCCTGAAGGCAGTCAGTTTCTTCCTAACCCAAATCTTCCATGGAAAATTGCTGACTTAGAGAGGTCCGCAGGGAGAGGGCTTGCCAGAGCCTTCCCGGGGCTCATCTGGCCCACGTGGCTCTGTGCATTTCACTCGCGCTTCGTTAGAACAAGTGCTTTGTCATTAATTAAAGCTTGTGCCGCGTTTATGGTCCCACCAGGCGCTCTGTGCCATTTCCCCCATTTTCCAGCTGGGTCCACTGAGGCACAGTGAATTGCTCTGGGCATTGTTATGGAAGACGCCAGCCCCAGCCTTAGCGTGCGCCTCCTCCGTCGTGAGAACGTCTTCTTTTTCGGTTTCATTGAGCCTCTCCTGCAAGCTTTCCTGGGCTCTGGAAGCAATCAGCCGCCGCTGGCCCTGTTTGTAGACATTACAGCAATTGCACGGGGGCCAGACAGGAGCCGGGGAAATCACTGAGCCAGCTTCCTCCGCTGTGAAGTTGCTCTTTTGTACTCGCGGTTCTGGCCGTAATAGCTGCATAATTCTTTCTTTCCTGTCTGCAGCCCGCCTGCTGGGGCGCTTTCTATTTTACTACAAAGTGGGCTCCCCTCCCCCAAAGTTCTCTGGACAGCATCGTGAGGCCCGACTTGTCACCCCAGCTGCTTCCTTTCCCATCCCGTTGCTGCCACCAAAGAGGCTAAAAGGCCAAAAATAGGTGCAGCCACCCCGAGCCATCTCCTGGAGCGTTTGAGTAGCCAGTGTGTGCAGGCCTCTGTAATGGAAGGACTTAGCCGTACGGCAGAGCCAGGTGGTGTCCCTTTCTTTACTGTATCACAGAGTCTCCGCAGGTTGTTGCAGCTATATCCCAATTTCATGCAACAAGAAAGCTGGAAAAAGGCTTCTGTGGCAAAGGCGTGTGTGTGCTCAGCACCCTAACCTAATTTCTAATTCCAGAGCTGTCTCTGGTGGTCAGAGGGCACTTGCAGACCCGAGCCTTCCTCCTCTCTGTCACTTCCTGGCCGGCTTTGGGCGCAGTTCCCTTGCCACTGGAACACGGTGAAAAGAGCGGGCCCTGCCCTGGCCGGGTAGCTCAGTGGGTTGGAGCGTCGTCCCGCGGCAAGGTTGCAGGTTCTGTCCCTGGTCAGGGCACATTCAGGAATTAACCAATGAGTGCATGGGCACGTGAAACCACAAATCGATGTTTCTCTCTCTAAAAATCATTTGATCAATCAACAAAGCAGGTCCTGAGCTATGTGGTGTGAGCGTTTGTGAGACTACACGTGGAGCGTCTATCTAATGCCTCCCGGGAGAAAGCCGAGGGCCAGGGCGTGAAGAGAAGTTGACCTTCGCGAGGATTTAGAATTTTGTGGCACACGCAGCTGGATTTCAAACCCAAGAGTAGACCAGCAAAAGCAACCAGGATGCACCCAGGATGGTCATTGGTTGATTAATGAAAAAGTCAGAGAGTCATAGAAAATGATACAAGTGCATTTTAAGCCTGTTTAACACTGAAGACACCCAGTCGCCCACTAGTCACGGCTGTGGGACTGAGGCTCTGTCTGCAGAGGCCTGCTGCCTGGCTTGTCCCAGGACCTTCTGCACGAACCTTGGCAGCGATGCCTCTTCCACGGTTTCCAGTTTGGGTTACTTGAAGGAGGACTGGACATTTCAAGAGCATTTGCAAAGCAATCCTCAGTCTCCTTTTTCACTCTTCACCCTCTTTTTTAAAAGGACTTTAGAGAGAGGAAGGGAGAGAAGGAGGTGGAGAGAAACGTCGATGTGGGAGAGAAACATCCCTCGGTTGCCTTTTGTGCGCACCTTGACCAGGGATCGAACCCGAAACCTAGGCCTGTGCCCTGATCAGGAATCGACCCGCAACTGTTTGGTGTGTGGGACAATGCTCCAACCCACTGAGCCACGTGGCCAGGGCTCTCCTTCTCTTAAATATTGAGTTTTTCCAAGGTTTTGGGCTTGGTTTATGTGGAGACAAGAACACTCTTTTCACACTGACAGTTTATTGCTTTACATATATTTAAATTTTGTAATTAGGATTTTCAGTACAACTGGCACAAGTAGGCTTAGAAACAAAC